AGGTTCTCTAAAGGTTCAGATATGTAAAATGTTTTGTTTAGCAACAATAAGGACTCAAAGTATCCATCAAATCGATGTTGGCGTACACAATAGCAATGCAGGGAGTCCTTAATGTGCAAAGGAGTTCCATCCCAACGGTGGTTGTGTAGTGAGAATATTGCCACATACTGTATGCTAAGACAAGAGTAAAGTCATATTTATAGAGAGTAAATATTTGTCAACAAAATGCTCCTGGGTTATGAATGTAAAACAAAAGAAAAAGGAGGTTACACCATGTCGACCTATGTCAACGTCATATGGCGGTTGTGCAAACCAAGGAACCCCCCCCCCCCAATATTTGTAAATATAAACAAATCAAATGTCAACAAGTATCTTTCGCCAATCCGGGGTCCACTTTTTGTGTCTAACTGAAAGTAAGCCAAGAGTAAATCCGCATTATCGGGACAGACTCAACGCAAGTGCGAGGAGTGAGTGCGCATCGGAGGACCCCCTCTCCTCTCTTCCACCGCAAGGCAAGAATATAAAGCCGCAGCGTAAAGCGGCTTGAACGGGCTCTTGAGGACCTGTTGGAACAAGCCTGAGTGGCAACAAAGAGCATCCTGCAGCGTCTGACAAAAACGAGGCCTTCTTCACCTCGGACAGGACCAATTGTGATCAAGCTCTTCTTTGTATTCCTTACATCGTACGGTAAGTCGCTGAGACTCGCTGACAGCAGCTTTGACACACCAATCATCTCTCGCTCCATATTTATTTATTATTTTTTTTTTTTTACAGAACATTTCTGTTCACAGATTTTAACTCCTTTGTGAACTTTTAACGAGGACTAATAAGGAATGCCGGAATTCCCGAAGCGCATTTGATCCGAGCAACGCAAGATCAGAACTTGTTTTCCCCACAAAGGAACATTCAGTTACAAGCGGAGTGGCTTGTCAGCGTGCCTAAATGGAGAGTTATCGGCGTGAAGAGGGTGTGGAAATGGTCATTATTAACAGTGGCGAAACCTCAAACACCTGGTGGGTGAAGAAAGACGAGATCCTATGGTGCATATCGACCGTCCCGTTTCTTAGGAGACGGCAAATAAATTGACACCGCGGAGCTTTATGGCCAGGCAACCTTAATCCAATCCTGAATACAGAATAAGCGCCATGAAAAGAAACACACATTTCTATTTCGCCCCCCCCCCCCTTCACAGGGTACCAGCACGCTTTTAAAATAACACTTAAGCTCAAATTACAGTGTTGGGGTTCAAATGTGTCATTTAACTGTCTTCGACCACACCTTGAAAATAAAGTTGTCGGATGAAGAGTTGATGTGAAACATTTGAAGTGCGAGACAACGCTGCAGCCAAGGCATGACAGACATGTCTTTGCCCGATGCGTAAAACTAAATCGAGGTCAACGGCCCTCGAAATAACGCGTATGTCATCGCTATTGTTCAAGGAATTTGGATGCTCCGTCATCGCGAGCGGAGTGGGAAGGAGTGAGCCGTTTGCGGGCAGGTGCAAGGTCACCGCGGGATCGAGGATGGCAACAGCGACGGATGTCGCTTGGTTATTTGAAAATTGGGGTAAACAACACACGGGGGGGGGGGGGGGGGAAGATCAGTAAAACCAAAGACAGCATTAAACCAATGAGACTGAATTCACCTCTTTGTACCCCAATTTGCATCAGCTCAAGCATAGCTTCAATTCCTAAACAGCAATTTACCGTAAATTGGAACAACTTATAATAAAATATAAAAGATTGACATTAATGGCAACAATGTTTGCTCGCACAACAAAGCAAGCGTGACGTTTGTGCCAAAACATATCTAACTTGGAGGAACGATACAAGAGACAGCTGTTGTGCAAACTCTTATCTCTTTGTTGTGAAATGTGAGAAAGCCAATTTGGGGGAAATCCATCCATCCATCCATGTTCCGATCCGCTTATCCTCACAAGGGTCACGGGGGCTGCTGGAGCCTATCCCAGCTGTCTTCGGGCAGTAGGCGGGGGACACCCTGAACTGGTTGCCAGCCAATCGCAGGGCACACACAGACGAACAACCATCCGCACTCACACTCACACCTAGGGACAATTTAGAGTGTTCAATCAGCCTGCCATGCATGTTTTTGGAATGTGGGAGGAAACCGGAGTACCCGGAGAAAACCCACGCAGGCCCGGGGAGAACATGCAAACTCCACACAGGAAGGCCGGAGCCGGGATCGAACCCGCGACCTCTGCACTGTGAGGTCGACGCGCTAACCACTGGAACACCAACTTAAATTCATATCAAAGTTTGTTGCCTTTAAATTTTGAGTTCAGACAACTTTTTTTTTTAACAGTGCAGAAACATAAATATGATTGGCATTGATTGATATGCAGTGGCACAGAATTTACTTGGGTGGCCACAAGCTAACACGAGCACAAGAAAGCACAAATGCACGCACATGCTCTCGCCTTGCAGCCTGATACTTCACACAATGTGAAATCTGTCATGGCTACACGACACACATTGCTGTGAAGACATATTAGCTGCAATCAAGGTTTCATGAAATAAAAAGCAGACACGCAAAAGCTTGCCCAACACACTCATCGTATGAGCAGGAGTAAAAGTAATTTTTAAAAAAATGGCCTTTTTCTTTGCCTTTGTTTATTGTATCTCCATGGACTATTTTTCATCTCATGCACTGATTCGCTAGAGCCAATCAGATTAGTCAATGGTCACCAATAGCCACTGCTAATTTGCATATGGGCTCATGCATTCAAATCATATCCAAGAAGTACAGTGAAACAACAATCTCTTTGTTCTTTACAATTCTAAATGTTTTTTTTTAACTTACATTTGTTGCTCTTTGTTTTATGAGCGAGTTGGGCAAGATTTGCACGGTCAAGGAGTGCATTGCATTTCACGAAACCCTGACTGTGGATGGCACGACAACAATGACTTCATGGCCCTTAATTGTGTGCCAAGTCGTTAAAAGTAATCATCTTGATGAAAGAGCAGTACAATTAACATGCGATTGCGATGACTGTGCCATCGGTTCCATGTGATTATTTCAAAGAATATTTAGCTACTGTTTACGACAAATCCAAACATTTAAAAAAAAAATTAAAATGGCCGAGCATGAATGTGTCTCAGTGTAATTTGTCTGTATGGAAATGGCATGGAGTTGGAACTAATTATGGAGACCAGTGAATCACATTCAATAAAATCTTGCTCTATAGCACCATTGGCCCACTACGTAGTTCGGCCCCCATTCAAAAGGCATGAACACTGTTTGCTGCACAGATGTACGTTTACAAGCTAAATTCTTGTACTTGTTCCATGAATGAAAGCCATTTTTTTTCTAACACTGTCGTCTCTTCATTTAATAGAATTTCTCCTTCCTGTACTTTTATATGGACGTTAGATTTGCCCCACAATAACTGAACAGCATTTTTCTGTCCTCTGATTGGTTGGTCAGCGCAAGCTAAATTGAACGAGCAAAACACATTTGTAGCCATCCGCACGGATTAAAATATTTAGTCAGCATCTCCGAGTGTGATTCATTTCATTTACACGGCACACCACTGCAATGTGGCATAAATCATTATTGTTCATTTGAGGGGAAATGTGGCACGAACCTTACATTGGATGGTGGTGGAATAGATTTGTTGAGCACGAGTACAATAGCTTTGATTTGCTAGACTGTCACATCTACTTGATGCTAGCTTAGGTCCTTAGTGATGACAGAGGAACCTCAGACCACCCACAGTGGGAGACTATACATTCCTGGCTACATCATTGGGTACATCTCTGCATCAGAATGAGAACAGTTCGGGGATTATAGAGACGGTGGTGAATTTTGATTGACAGCGACAAAATGTTTATCCTCATGAAATCTGGAGTGGTGAGTTTCGAAGGATATGAGCCATTGGTTCATTGGTGTGTGACCAGCGGCCGCTTGTCCTCATTAGGGTTGAAGTTCATGAGTGTGAGGCAAATGTGCTACACTGGTGTTTTTTTTTTTTTTTTTAGCGGTGAGTTGTTGTCTAAAATCAAATTTTTTTTTAATGGGCTCCAAAAAAGTCAGGAAAAACACGGTGTGTGGTCACCTCGATTGTATACAGACCGAATAACTTGCCAAACGTACAGACAGTGGGAAATGTTTTTGTCACAGCGCAGCTAAAAAAAATTCTGCATTCGACATTTCCACACCATGTTAAAAAAGCCTGACAGTCTAAATTATTGCAATGATTCGCAAATCAGCATCTTGTGGTACATTAGTAGCGGGTACAGTGCTTCTCCACTTTCAAGGCACTCAAAAGCACCACCATTGTCTCCTTATTCACCCTCTGATGTACCACGGATATATTTTTGTTCATCTATCTGTCAGAAATGTGGAGTGTCAGGTAAAACAATTCAATAAGGGTCATTTAACCCCGGGGTCACCAACCTTTTGGAAAATAAGGGCTACCGCTTGGGTACTGATAAACATGAATGGCCAACAGTTTGATACACGTCTAAAATAACAAATCTGTTCAAATGACCTTCTATTTTATACTATTATAATTCAGCGATTTGAATACACTGATCATATTAATGACTTGTCACCGTAATTGACAACAATGATTTTACAAGGAATGGAATCGATGTGCAACATTATTTCTAGGAATCTCTGCAAGTTTACTAATACAACACTCCTCGGAAATCACAATGTCCCATCACTGGTGACTGAGCTATTTTTAGAGCAGGCCCCAGAGCTACTCCTGTGGTCCTTGGTGGCGACCTGGTGCCTGTGCCCACCACGTTGGCGACCCCTGATTTAACTTGTGTTAACTTGTTGCCATTCTCAAAACAGACTTAAAAAAAAAAAAAAAAAAAAAATTCAAATCAACCATTCCAGTGTTCACGCGTTGAGACAAGATGGTCCTTATTTCAAGAATAATAAAGCAGTGATTTTGCGAAAGTAAAATATGTGCTTTGGCGCAAGAAAGGTTGGGAAAGACTAGAGAATGTTTTTGTGAGTGATGTCTTTACCTGCATGAGTTTCCCCTCCGCGTCACCGGCGCTTCCTCCCACGAACACCCCCTCCAGAATGATGGGACTCCCCGTCGGCTCGTGCTTCAGCAGCGTCACCTTGATGACCGCTCGTAGGGCCGGCCGCTCGGATTCCGGGCCCGGCTGGCCCAGCACCACCTGCAGGGCCGTCATCAGCAGCCACGGCCAGAGCCCGGCCAGGCGCCACGGGGGGACGGTCATGGCCTCGGCTGAAGCGGCGGAGCCCGGCCGCACATGGTGGACTTCAAAGCAGGCAGCAGGAAAACAAGTCGGAAGCTTTTTCTCTTTTTTTTTTTTTCTTGTGCTTCTTTAGGCACCGCAATCCAAGCTCACGCGTGAACGTCCCGGTCCTTCCATTCAGAGTTAATAATCAAGCGTGCATCCAGCCGCATATCCAAAGAAAAAATAAAAATCATAAAAATGAAAAGAAAAAAAAAAGTTGCAATTCATGCTCCGAGTTGCCACCAATAAGTCTCCGCACGTGTCCGCGCGCGAAGAAAAGCCCAGCTCCTATCCACGCATGAGTCGAATTTCATTTAACTTCACTTCTCCTTGATAGTAATGAGGTTGCTATAATCATCATAATAATCCACAACGTCACTCGCTGCACCTTTACCAAAACCGCGTTGAGAGTTGACAAGCGGCGTCCCCAGATAGCGAGTCCCGAGGGCGCCACATTTTTCACCCCGCACCGACAGACAGACACACTCATACGCATACGCACTCGTACACTTTTACACTCACTCGCTCACGCACGCGAAAGAGACAAGTTGAACTTCAAAGACGGCCGTTCCAGGTTGCCTCAGCCGTGGCGGCTAGATCACAGCCGAGCCAAACGGTTAAGTAACATGTTTACGACCTCAACGGCGCGAACATAGTTGTTCCCAAAAGAATTTAATTACCGCGGACACACTTGCGTAAAGTCCGTCCGTTGGCTCGTTTCCTTCCTTTCTTCCGTTCGTCAGTTCAAAGTTATTCCCAAGTCAATTCGCGCTTTGAATGACTTCTGCGAAAGTGGATACGTTCCTCCGAGGTCGGTCATCAGCGGGTGCCATAGAAAGAAGCACCGCAATGTGCGGAAGTCGGTCAACTTGAGAGACGGCACGTACAGTTCACAACACACGCGTCCGCAAAGACACCGTCCCACTCATCAACTCTCCCGTGTGCGTGTCGCTCTCTCCACGCCACCGGGGGAATCTCATTTACAGCCGCTACCTGCTCACTTGGCTTGCTGCATTCAGGGCCAGTTAGACACAAGCGATGATTTGTAGCTAAATCAAAAATAGAAACGATATGAATTGATTTTTTAGAACGGAATCATACACTACGCGTGACGAAATGCAACAAATCCACAACGTTCTCGAGTGTCGCTTATAGAAGTCGAGCTGCTGAAAAATACCAGTGTTTTCCGAGTGGACTTGAAGGCAACTGCACCAACGCTTTCCAGGGCGTATCAGGCTCCACACACCGGAACGATATGAATCAAATCAGGTAAATGGCTCCCTCTAGTGGCTCAACTGTATTAAAAACAACAAATCTCAATCACGGTTGTTACAATTCGTTTAATTTAACAATTAATTAAAATGAGATTGAAACGAATACATGTATATGTTCCATGGTCAAGGTTCTGTACGCAATTCATTGACGCTGAAAACATCACAGTTCTTGCATGACCAGCATACTCACCGGACATGTCACTCATGAAGCATGTTTGGGATGTTCTGGATTGGTGTATACGACAGCGTGTTCTGATTCCTGTCACTATCCAACAACTTCGCACAGCCATTGAGGAGGAGTGGACCAACATTCCACAAGCGGACAGCCAATAACCTGGCCGACTCTGCGAAGGTGCTGTATTGCACTGCGTGAGGGAAATTATGCTCACACGAGACACCGTGGACGACCCCCCCCCCCAATTAAACAAAAACTGCACATTTCAGAAGGGTTTTTTTTTTCATTATTGCGGCCGAAGGCACACCTGTGTAATAATCTTGCTGTCTCAATAGCATCTTGAAATGCCACACCAAGTGAGTAGGGAGGGATCATTTTGACAAAGGAGAAATGCTCGCCAACATAGATTTGGACAGATTTGTGAACAATATTGAGGGAAATGGCCTTCTCTGTATGTAGATTATGTTCTTTTATCTTCGAGTCCACCTCAAGAAAAATGGAGAAGACAAAAGTGTTGCGTTTATATTTTTGTTTAGTGTATAAATTAAATTCAACCAAAAATAAGGCGTGGTTGAATCAAGCAAACATTGCTGGCTAGTTATTATTTTTAATCATGTTATTCGTCTCGTCATTTAAAATACAGTCCAGGTCATGTTAGGGTGTGTCGATTTTTAAACAGGCACTTAACAAAGGATGTCTAAATAAGGGTCCTTTATGGGCTCTCGTTACTGGCAATGACGTTATAATCATGAGACCAGCTTCGTAACCACAAACCAGTTTGTTTGGACCGAGGTTTCTGACCTATTTTCATAAGAAAGAGAGCATAATGGCGCTGGAAACAGTTCCTAAAGACCTTCGCCATCTACGAGCATGTTTGCTGTGCTCCTTAGTGAAGGTAAATCAAATTCTGACAAAAGAAACGCTAGCCGTGCTGCTAACTTGTCGCCATTTTGCTGGACACAGCCTGCGTTTTTTGTTGTCATTGATAAGCAATCGTAAAAACACTTGTTTGCACGTTTACGTGTTCTAGCAGATTTACTGTTTTAGAGGGCGCAGTACAAATTTGCTTCATCACAGCAATATAACCAAATCGGTTTCTCTTTTAGACCATTGACCAGTTTGAATATGATGGCTGTGACAACTGCGAGTCGTTCCTTCAAATGAAGGGGAATAGAGAGATGGTTTATGAATGCACCAGTTCTTCATTTGATGGGTAAATACTAACCTGGCTATATGTGAAAAGTAATTCACTTGAAGGACAATGCGTTTTTACTATTGTTATGTTTATTTCCACAGTGTGATTGCCCAGATGAGTCCTGAGGACAGCTGGGTAGCAAAATGGCAGAGAATAGGTAAGAAGAGACATCCGTACATAGGTCTAGATAATGTACTGTAAAAGGAGCTTATACGATGACTGTCTTGTTCCACTGACATGCTTGACAATACTTGGTTGACCAGTGAATTTTCATTGCATCTTTTCTACTTTATGCAACAGGCACATTCAAACCAGGTGTATATGCAGTGTCGGTGACGGGCAGACTACCTCCAGGTATAGCCCCATATCAATGATTTTGTTCTCCTTATTGTGATCTTTACCAGGTTCCCTTAATTGTGTCCTACCTTCAGTGTATAATAGTCATTCTCAACTCTTTTCTGCTTCTCTAGGTGTGGTGAGAGAGCTGAAAAGCAGAGGAGTGATCTACAAATCCAGAGACACAGCAGTGAAGTCCTAACATCAAAGCTTCCAAACCATTTTACAGCTCCATTGCTCAGAAGCAACAAAAATATTTGTACAAAAAGACTTATTTTTAAAATTTTTCATTTGCCTGATGCATTGTTTCTTTTTGTAGTCATCAAGAATAAATCTGTTAATCTCCTGTGTTTTCTTTAGTTATGCCAATTTTCTTGGTCGCTTTAAGTGCAAAGAGCACCGAAGACTACATGTGTCATCCTGCACTTGAACACAAACAACTTTATACTACAATACCATGTAAAACAGTGTGTAAAACTTTTTTTTATGTGAGCAGCCCCCTCCCCGAACATTCATGAGTGTCCTTGACCTTTGAGTGGGTGGAAGCATCCAGGAGTCTTCAATCCTGTTCCTTGAGGGCAGCTATCTTCCTGTTTTCTATCTCTCCATGCTGCAACATCCCTGGGTCAGATGATCAGTCAATCAGCAAGGTCTGTGGAAAAGCTGGAGAATAATCCTGATCATTTGAATTAAGTGTGTTGCGGCAGGAAGAGATGGAAAACAAACTTCGGGGAACGGGAATGAGGACCCCTGATCTAGTACTTTTCGTCAATCCCTGAGTGTGTGGATGGACTGATGCACCATTATTATTTTTTGATTTAATTGAGATGGGTTTTTTTTGCTACTGTGAAAACAATAATGCCCCTGTCGCTAAGAATAATACGATGCAATTTGTGTGTGGCCTAAAAGATCAGACCTTGTTGCAGTACCATATAATACCAACAGGGGGAACCCTAAGACTGATTTCCTGGCGTCAATCAACAACCGACCTTTGGCTGTCAACAACCAAGCATATCCCACCTATATTCCCAATCTTTTTAACAAGCGTCCAAATAAAATACAATATGGAGGTTTTGGACGTAATGACATTACTGTCAGGGGGATGTGGCACTTTTCAGGTGTAGACCACGGTTCTTACTGTATTTGTTTATTGTTGACATTCGTGGTGGTGTTTTCATTCTAACTTGATGAATTCAGGTCATGAATATGAGAAGTAAGGACAGGAAAGTTACACCGCCCCACTCTCGCAGTTCTTGATAAGAAATGTATTGAACGGATTAAGTAAACAAACTGTGGCGCTCTACTATCACAAAGTCAAAGCCTTTCACAATCCTGAACATTTAATATATCGCAACACGGTGAAAAATAAATATATTAAAAGGCGATCGTTTGAATCAAGCCTCACGTTTTTTGCAGTTCCACCTTCAGTAACAGTTTCGAAACATTATATTGTTAATAGTGAAAGGAGTCCATAGTACATAAATTCCACGATTTTTATTTTATTTTTTTTACTAATTTATACTTCTATATGCAAACCACACGGTCTGCTACATGCTTAAAGTGTGTTATACTGGTTTATGTGTGATCTGGTTTTGCCACTTCCGCTACAATCAGTGAGTAAATTAGAATCAGTAACACTACAGTGCCTTTTTTTTTTTTTTTTGCAGTTTCCCCACTTAAATGTTTAGGATCATCAAATACACTTAAATATCACACAAAATTCTGAGTAAACATAAAATTTAGTTAAAAAAAAAAAGATTCGATTGACCAACTCTTTGTGGAATATACGTCAAGCTAATAATGTTTTGGTTGGTGAGTGTAGTGTCAAATAAAATTTTAATGTTTCAATAATGCCAAGAGTATCATTTTAAGACACTGAACATTTCTACTGCTGCACCCATTATAGCAGATGGGGTTGTGTTAATACTTTCATCCTTAGAAGGTTGTTTTCTACAGCGCTTTTTCCTCATTAGGTTTGCAGGTGAGCTCGGGCAGAAGCGCAGATGGCTTTTGGGTGAGAAATTGGCTACACACTTGCGTAGTTGCCAATCAATTATTCACGTCACTACAATCTAAAAACATCTACTCATCCATCTATTTTCTATCGCGCTTGTCCACATTAGTGTTGCAGGGGGAATTGGAGTCAATCCCAGCTGACTTGGAGTAAGAGCACCAAGTCCACCCTGAACTGGTCGCTAGTTACAAAAGCTCAAAGCGGCATTCACGCCTATGGACAATTTATAGTCTTCAATATAACCTAAGATGCATGGTTTCGAAATGCAGGAGGGAGCTGGAGTACCAAGAATAATTTCTCACAAGCACAAGGAACAACATGAAAACGCTACAAGGCAAGCTGGAGTCAAGATTCGAACCTGGAACCACAGAACGTTGAGACAGAGGTAGTCGCCACTCTATCACTATGCTGACAAAGGTACTTTTGGTTCATTTCTAATTGCTTGATTTGTGCAGAGGTCAATTCAAATAGTTTTATGAACTAATATTCAAGGGTGAATGTGGTTCCTTTCACTCCAAAAACCAAAGTGAATTAAATCTCTTGTCTCACGCGACTTTTGGAGTAAAAATTACCAAACTGTTTTAATCAAAGATGTAAATATTTTTTTCTGTATTATTATTATTATTATTGCCTTAACTGGGAAACTGCAATTTTTTGTGGCACATCAGGTTTTCAAAAAATATTTGTAATGTAGTAATATTTACAGTGATATTTATGAATTAAGGGTTAGGTTCAGCACAGGTGGATTTTTTTTTTCTGAAATGTCATAGCGATAAATTACATCACATGGTAAAATCCGCAATGCGCAACATTTAATCGGTCAAAGTTAACAAAAAAATAAAAAACATAAAAACTGATATGCAAGGAAAAAAAAAATTCGACATTTTTTAAATCAGCGTCGAAAATACATTAAGGGACACATAAAGATGATTCCAATTTGCTGTTGACCAGTGCTATCAAC